AGGCTGAGACAGAGTAGTTTTGTATTAGCTTCTGTTATGTATTTCTCTACAAGTGGCCCATCTCTTGCAGCCAGGGGAAGCCAGGGTTAGGGCTCTCACTGAAAGCCAGTAGAGCGAGTTAGATATTACCGTTCTCTTTGCGTTGATTGGCAAATGATGGGAGTTTGTCCTATGGACAAGTAGCCTAATATTTCTGGGTAAAATACATTGCAATAAATGGTTTAAATACGAAGCCAGTGACTACGCAGGTGCTGGATAGCTGAGTTGGCCACGAGGAGAGGGAGCCTTGGGTGCTGAAGCTGGAGTCACGATGCCCCGATGTCCGTAGCGTGGTCCTATGCTTGAGAACTCACTTCACACTCGGTTTTTAGGAAACACTTCCAGCGACTCCATATGGCTGTGCTCTGTCACCTAGGCCCGCTACTGTGCAGTCACACTAATATCATATGTGTTGATGGTTTAAATTAAAGTGCTGGGCCTGGAACCAAAACAGGCAAAAAGATCCCATTCTGTGGCGAAGCTCTGCAGCCCTGATTGCTCCGAGAGCGCTTTCTCTTTCCTACCGAGAGAACGAGAGAACGGCGGTGCTTTGGGGCTGTGAGATAGCGATCAGAGTCTGTGTGATCGTTGTGTGCATTGCTGTTTATTTTATTGGGGACCACTTTCCACCTGGGCTACAAGCTCTCTCTGGGAACCTCTAAGATGAAACATAGCAGTGTTTTGGGAAGAAATAATCAAGACTTGTTTTTTTCCAAATGGGAGATGACCACTGTCCTGGATATTCAGAAACAGTGCCAGGAGGTACAGCTTTCCAAGGGGGAGGCAGGGCAAATGTTAAAGCCTAGATTGTGTTTGAAACACAAACACCGAGATTAACACACACACACACACACACACACACACACACACACACACACATGGATGCACTTGCCAATCCAGCTGGAATAGCGCAGAGTATGACTCAAATTAATGAGCAAAATGAATCCAGATTATTTTCCCCTCGTAAAAGAAGTTTGATCTAGGATACTGTTCAAAGCCTCCGCTTGAATGGAGTGCTAGGTCCCGGTTTGTGACCGCTTAATCTTCCTTGGGCTGCCCGAGGCCGCAGTTCTATGACACCTATTATTAGCTCCCCGCTGGTGGCTGTCTTGAAGCAACCACGTCTGAGCACATGCTCTCTCTCCCCTCCTTCCTTCAGATCACGCAGCTGAAGATTGAGAACAACCCCTTCGCCAAAGGTTTCCGGGGCAGCGACGACATGGAGTTGCACAGAATGTCAAGAATGCAAAGGTAAGGGCCGGGGAGATAGCTCAGTGGAATAAGTGCCTGCCTGGCAAGTGCAAGGGCCTGAGTTCAATCCCCAGTTCCAAAAAAAATAAAAAAAAAAAAAAAGAATGCAAAGGTAGGAAATCCCATCTCCCCGACTTCCACCGCCACATGTGCCCCATGGCACCCTCAGCTTCCCTGCCACCAGCCTTCCTGCACAAATGAGGCCAGACACAGAGCACTGGCACCTGGGACCCATCCGCATGTCCCCCTTCCTGTGTGGCTGACCCCATCAGGCCCTCTGGAGGGGACCCTTCTAGCAGAGAGAGGGTTCAGGGCAGAGCTGCCTGCTGTCTCCACTTGGGGAGTCAGAGCTACACTTTCCTCCGTCCCTTGGCTGCTTCTGCCCCGATGGGCCCCTTTCTCTTTTCCTCTCATAAGTCACGGCTGATGAAGGCTTTTCTTTCTGGCAACAACTCCTGGTAAATGAGAGAGAAGTTAATGACTTGATTTCCCGGGGGTGAAATACAGACAAACTTGACACCATATGGTACCCAGGGCACCGAGGGATTGGAAGCCGGTGTTGGAAATTGCTCAGTATTTTTACATATCCTGTGGTCACAGTCGCTGATATGACAAATAGAAGGGGCTGTAGCAAATGAACAGAGTGGGAGTTGGGTCTGATTTGAAAGGATTGAACAAGTACGGCCAATTTTGTCAAATGTTCTCTTTACCTCTTGATAGGCTTCCAAAGTAACCCTCCATATGGCAGGAGGATTGGAAATAACAGCCCGATCGCTTGGATGCCTTGGACCAAGGCTTTCTCTCCCTCTCCTCTTTCCACTTTTGGTGGGTTAGTGTTTCAAAGTAAAACAAAGTTATTTAGGATGTTTTTCCTTATGCTTTTTGGGAAACAAAACTGGAGAGTCGAGCTGCCGAACAGACCCATCCATTCAAAGAGAGAGAAAGGCCGCGGCCTTGTGGTTTGAGCATTGGGTTTAGAACTGTGTGCCGTGGGAGATTATTTTTCGATAGCGGGCTTACCAGATCTAATTTTGCAGGCTTTTGAAAAATAAATCGGCCTTGACTTTCTCAGGTGTGACTGTGCACAGCACAGGCCTGTGCATTCCTGGGTTTGCCTTTCATGGCTGTGGAATCATAAGGTGATTTCTTGTAGCAAAAATAGTGAATTTTTATGGGGGCTGGGGAGATAGCTCAGTAGAATAAGCACTTGCCTGGCAAGCACAAGGGCCT